ATGTATGAAACATCAAAAAGAGATGTTTCTGGCTTTGTGAGAAAATACCAGAGAAGTCTCTTTAAATTAAACTTTTTTTTCTCTGAATCCTTTTGCTCTGCTTTCCATGTTTCAAACACGATTATTAATAATGATATATAAAAAAGGTCAGATGGAAACTTTCAGAATTGTAGCTTTTTGGGACAGAGTAAAATAAATTGCTTTTGGCTTCCACAGCTATGCAAAATGTCTTTCATTAGATGATCAAAACTTGAAAGACGTTTCACTGGGTAATTTTGAATGAGTGAAATTTAAGTTCTCCCTAACTGTGGTTTCCAAAGCTTAGCAAAGGAAGAACCGCAGTGTTTGTTCAAAGTATAACATGTACAAAAGGGACATCCCTGAATCAGAGTGGGAGAAAACAATGCGAGAGACATATGATAAGATCTTTGAAAGTCTCCGACACAGTCCTGCCTGCAATAAATTAGTGTGATCTCCGCTGACTAGTTTGTCCTGAGGACTTTCTTGGAGTGTCATTGAAGTTCTCACCATCTGACCAATCCATGTAGTTTAACTCTATAGGGTTAAAACAGAGGATCTTGGAAAGCACCTTGTGATCTTGAGTGCCGTGCATATACTGTATGAGACTTAGTTAAAACCCTCATGTGGCAGTTTGACAGCTCATATAGGAAAGAGGAGATTAAATTCGGAAAGAGGAGATTTTTGCCATTGCTTGTATGTATTTTTCATTTAAAAAAGACATATATTGATTCACACTGGTAAATACTATCAGTACAAAACAAAACCCCTATAAAATATGAGAGTCCTGTATTCACGACTAACAAGAAATAAGAAACATCTCTGCACTGAATTGACACAAGCCAGATAAGGAGGCCCTTAGCTCAATTAAATATGGACTCGGGCTGTATCAAACTGTAGCTGGGTAAAACTTTTGGAACTAACTAAATAGCCCTTTGTAGCTTCCACACAGTGGTCATGTCAAGTATGCTGATAACATTTGAAAAAAGTGAGAGATGAAGAAAGTTCTGTAAAAAGAAAAGGCTTTTAGGATCACTCAAATCTCTCCTGTGTTCTGTGGTATTAGAGACCTGGATTGACAGAAATTAATTCACAAGGTTGCATATACTGTATACTGTACTTGAGGGCACTTTCTTATTATTATTTCATCAATTCGTGGTTTTATTCCTGTTGCCACATATAACATGTAACATTCTGTAATATTTGTTTTATCTTTTTGCAAAATTTCACTTACTTTTCCTCAGCTTGCAGTCTTTAAAGCTTTAAACATATAACTCCCATATGTAAAATTCAAACCAGAAAATAAACATTCCTTTCAGAAAATTAGTTATTTTCTTGGTTGTATAGAAAAAAAATGTTGCCCTTGTTTTTTTGTGTTTATACTAAAATAATTGCCGCACTACAGTAAGTAGCTAACATGTCTTCTAGACAGTTTGAGACCAGTTTCCTCCATGTCCAGGGGATTTTGTAGTATATGGGTGGCTCATACTTTCCATACTGTCCTAAATGCAGAGCTAGAGAATGTATCTTTTTTGGCAGAATATGTTTTGTAAGGAAAATCTTTCCTGCCATTAAACGGGCAGGAGCTCCAATTCTTCTGCAGCTGTGAGGCTTTCCTCAAGGACAGCACTGTAGCTCCTCCTGAGCTACAGATGTGAAAATACCTGCAAAAAAGAAATGATAGAGTGGTGCTGACTTTTCATCTCTGCATATTGCTGATGTTCTATCTTGGTATTCTTCCTAAAATCTATCTTATTATTAGAGAAGGAGTCTTGATTTTATCTGATTATGTTAGCCAGCAGCTATATCACTCTGCAACTCACAACCAACAGCCCACTGCAGCTCAGCAGGTGTGAGCCTGGTCAGTACCCGGAGGGGAGACCTCCTGGGGAAAACTAAGGTTGCTGCTGGAAGAGGTGTTAGTGGGGCCAGCAGGGGGCGCTCACCCTGTGGTCCATGTGGGTCCTAATGCCCCAGTATAGTGACGGGGACACTATACTGTAAACAGGCACCGTCCTTCGGAAGAGACGCAAAACCAAGGCCCCGACTCTCTGTTAAAAATTCCAGGGCGTTTCTCGAAAAGAGTAGGGGTGTAACCCTGGCATCCTGGCCAAATTTCCCATTGGCCCTTACCAATCATGGTTTCCTAATAATCCCCATCTCTGAATTGGCTTCATTACTCTGCTCTCCTCCCCACTGATAGCTGATGTGCGGTGAGCGTTCTGGCGCACTATGGCTGCTGTCGCATCATGCAGGTGGGGCTGCACACTGGTGGTGGTAGAAAGGAGTCCCCATTACCTGTGCTTTGAGTGGAGTGCCCAGAAAAGTGTTATTAATTAATTATTATTAATTAGCAGTAGTTCTACCACGTTGTAGGCTGGTCCCCTAAGATCACAGAAGGTAAGCATCCTGGTTTCTGGATCTGGTCTGCACTGAGAAGGGAGACCCGTAAAGAAAACCAGGCTGCTGATGTACATGGGGTTGGTCGACCAGTAGGTGGTGCTCTTCCCTCTGGTCCAGAATTTCCAAAACTAGTGCCCCAACACACATGTGGTTTTCCCAGATGGAAGAGTGACAAGTGCCAGCGTACATGCCAAATGCCATTTATTGTACTTATCAGTTATTATTTACTTTTAAAATTCATTAAGACCCGAACACATTAGTATGTATCCTCTTTTTTCCAGGGGGATCAATATGATATCATTCCTGCAGTGCTAATTAGTAAGCAAACCTGCAGTCAACTGTTCAACTAATCACCTCACACAGTGTCATATTAACCCCCTGTGAGAGAACAGATTTCCTGCAGCTGAATGGTTGTTTTATGCAGCTCAGCTAGTCAGCTTCAATTTAGATAAATAAAGACTAAAACAATATTTACTTTGGACGTTCTCTGTGTTGGCTCTAGGAAAGATTGTACATGTGACAAATGTATGTTATTTTTCTCTCTCTCTTATGGCAGGGTTTGGTGAATAAGCCCAACCCTTCAGACTGTTGCTGTAAGATGTGATGTTTAATTTTAGCTGTTCCGGCTCTGTCTGAAGGGGCCTGCTTCACCACAGTCACAGATTAATTACATTGACTCTCCACTGCATTTGAACAGGAAGTAACTAGTATTCAGTTAGACTACAACCCCCGTCTCCCAGGCTTGGGTCTTGCTCCTGTTTATAACCCATCATCCCATTCTGAACCAAACCTGTCTCAGTTTAGAAATTGACTGTTTGAATGGTGGGAAAGGGTAGGACTGTTCAGTAGTTGTGTTTCTTATGAAACTATTTTGTACCACAGTCCTGCATCAATGCACTGGACATGGAAGGACCCAGGAGCGACATGGACTGTGTATTTCAGTTTTTACTTTTTAAATTAAGACTGATAAATCCTTTTGCACTTTCTTGGTGTCTGGGTAGAGGAGAGTGGTATAGTCTCAGTGGGGGAAAACCAGGGCCAGTGAAATACCTACCAATGGTAAAGTACTCTTTGGTATGCCTTCAAATGTTTTATTCCTGAATATATAAAAAAAAACATTGCGAAAAAGAGTGGTATATTTTTGAAAATTGGTGGCGTGAAGAATTCCCAACTCAAAAGGCTATTGGACAGTCCTATCAACCTCCACTACTGCAGAGAGTGTCTGAATACAGTACGTTCACTTAACAAGCTGAAGGATGAAAGATACCAGTACAGGACGATAAGTCACACTCACTTCTGGAAGCAAGGAACCTGATCTGTTAATAACCAATGTTTATGAATTCTGATGTACATTAATTAAATTTGACACAACTTTTCTGGGGCCTTACATTTTTGCCTTTGTTTTTTAATAGGAAATTTAAAGGGAAAATATCATCAACCCTGAACTTTTTAAGATGTTACGACTGCAGAAGAAATAGTTGTGAATTTGGTAACACCGAGCTATAAGACAGCAGTGCTAACAGCTTCATCACTGTCACTCAGTACCAAAACCCATTATTTTGTAAATCCAAACTACATTATGCGATGTGTATGTATTCCTTCAGAGTCTTTGTTGTTTACTATCTGCTCTTTTGCTTCATGTCAGTAAAGTAAGACTGCAGGATTAGAGGCGGTTTGAGACTGTTGGCCAAAATCTTTTTAAGTCACACCATCGCAAAGCTAACTGTAGCTGCGGCTTTGGTTTTGGTACAAAACCAAAATATATATATATAAATAAAATGCAATTCCTGGTATTTCTCTTCTAAGCCACTAGTCAGTGCAGAATTTATTCAAATTACATACTGTATGAAGGAATTTTACTTGATTATAAAGTAATGTTGATTATAAATTAAAAGATTTTATTTGCAGATTTAAAAAATAGCAAGATATTTGCGTTCTTTTTAGATTTTAGCAGTAAATAATATAATATTGTTGCTAATTTTCCTGAAAATGTTGACTTTCTTTTTTGTCTCAGTATATGTTCCAGTCCATTAATTAATTGACATTGAGTGCTATAGTCAAAAACATAAGAAACATTACCAAAAACAGTTCACTAAGCCAAATAAAAAATCTTTCAGTTTTGGGTTATTCTTTTAATCCGGTCACGGATTTAGGACTGGCTGAAACTCAGCAAAGACAATTCAGCAATGAGGCAAAGAAAGTCATTTGTTAAGGGTGATACAGAGC